GTGTTTATGTATAAAGCCAGGAGCAATTTATTACCTGGTGGAATTCAAAAACTATTTAATGAAAGGGAAGGGGGATACAATTTAAGGGGTCAGTTAAATTTAAAAATTCATGCTATACGTACAACCAAAAAAAGATTCTGTGTTTCCATAAGTGGGGTAAAACTATGGAATAATTTAAGTGTAGACATAAAAAATAGTAATAGAATTGACGAGTTTAAACATAAATATAAAGGTATGTGTCAATCAAGATATATGCAAGAACAGGCTCTGATTAATTACATGGACAATTGTGGGTGTGGTGTACATTTTGTAACCATTCTTTAGTATATTACTTGTGTGATGGTAGAATGTTAACACTGTTATAATCTTTTTTTAGTATAATACGTGTGTGGGTAGAAGTGAATCATTTACTGGTTGCAAACCAATGATGGTAAGATGATGTCATGGGGTAGGACTGGATAAGTCTGACTTCTTCCTACTCCATTCAAGCATGTACTAGGTATAAGCAAATTGATATTGGATTATGTGTAAAATTATGTGTGTTGTCATATCAGCTGTTTTTACATGCTTGAAAGAATAAATCAAATCAAATACTTGTGTGAATCCAGTCAATTTCTTAATCTGTCAGTGTGCACTGAAGCCAAACTCATCCTCAGGTTCTGACTGCCATATTATTCTTCCTTTGAAATCAACAAATACTAATGGAGCTCTTTTTTGGCATGTCTTTAGCTCAGGCAAAACAAGTAATTGTGATCTGTCACTATACTTGCAGATATTACAAAGAAAATGGAGGGTCAAGTTGATGCTCCTGCACAGCTCTTCCAGAAGGTAATACAACATACTGTGTAGTGTTTTGTTTTTGTTTTGCTCAAACAGTCCTATAGCTGTGGTTTTGATTTGATATGACTGTTTCAGGGCTGAGTTCCAACAGTTTAAACACTCACTGTGATATAAAATTTAAATGATAAGAAGATGACAAACTTGGATAAACTGTCTAAGGATAGCACACAAGACCACTAAGAAGAAGGAAATGAAGTTGCCCATTCATACCATAACTTGTAGCCTCATACTTATGGCTGTATTTGCCTTGCATTGAATTGCATTTGTGAACTTTTTGAGAGTGGGAAAATGGCATCTGCAGCATTTTGGTGCCCTGCTGTGCTCAGTAACGACTGTGAGGAGGTTCTGCATGGAGCACAACCTTAGATGAAGGAATGATGTTTAAAACACAAATTTGGAAATGGCAGTGTTTTTTTTTTTGTGTGTTTTTTTTTTCAAATCATCAGAGTAGCACATGTAGGTGTGTTTTAAAATCTTCATGTGGTGCTCATCATCATCAGCATCATCATCATCAATGTTTATTTAACCAGGAAGAAAACCAGTTGCAAACCTGACATAAAACACAAGTAATACCTGCCTTACACCGGCCTTTCATGACTTTTCAAGCAATTTCAGTGTCACAGACTAATTTCCAATTTTGGAATAAAATCAAGAGAGTTTTGCTACAATCATGTCACGCTCGCATCATCTCATTCGTTTGGTGCAAGATGGTGATCTGAGTCTTTTTCTCCTCTTTGACATTTCAAGAAAATCAACTGTGTTTATTATTATCATAAGTCTTAGGCTTTGCTCATTCAGACATTGATGTGAACATAGTAAACAACCAATAAGTGGGCTCTCTCCAGCACCAAACAGAAAGCAGCATCGCGGCACAGAAACAGCGGTAAATATGATGGAGACTCCAGTGAGGCATGGAGAGCACAATTCTGTTGGACCATTACAAACGAGGAGAAAATGGTGGAGTTGTGGAGCAGGCTGAGTGTGTTGCAGACCTCAAAGTTTGTCAGTGAAAACATTGAAAACCTTTTCTTTGTACTATTGGTAGTTAAAGGTTCCAGTGAAATAATAAATCACAGATTTTAGTTATTACATTTTGGAAAGTGTTCCAACTTTTCTGGATATGGGATTTGTAGATTCCACCTTCTCATTGCACCTTCCCTGCATCTCACAAAGATACGAGAGTAGGAACCCAAAAAAAAACAAAAAAAAAAACACTCTGGACTCGTCAGACCAAAGAACAGATTTGAACTAATGTCCATTTTTTTGTTTCCTGGCCCATACGGTTTTCTTCTACTTACTGCAAATTGGATACTGAACATTTCAAACAGGAGAGTTCAGAGCACATAAATTCACATAGATGTTTTTTATAAGAAAATATTATTTTTAAATACTAATGTAAGTGTAATTAAACCACATTATTGCAATTAATAATCCTGTCCCTGGTAGGCTAGTGGTTAAGGCGCAGCGCCCTCGCTGCTGCGGCCTGGGTTCGAATCAGGGTTGCATCAGGAAGGGCATCCAGCATAAAACACGTGCCGAATGTCAACATGCGAGTCGTCAGTGTGACGATTCGCTGTGGCGACCCCTAAATGGGAAAAGCTGAAAGTGACTTTCTATTGCAATTAATAATCCTCAATTTGTCTTTTTTTTTTTTTTTATTTACCTGTATATATCAGGTTAAAGATGTGGACCAGAGTAGCGACTGGTTCAAAGATGGAATGAAATTAGAAGCCATTGACCCCCTCAACCTCTCAGCTATATGTGTAGCCACTGTAAGAAAGGTACGTGTGTGTCTTTACATTAAAGTCAGGAAAAAAATGTGGTTAGATAAAATGATTAGTTATTGTTTTTTATGTGAAATTACTGTCCCTTTTAGTAGGTGGCAGTTCCAGATCAACATCTGCCATTCTGTGTTGTTTAGGTGTTGGCAGACGGATACCTCATGATCGGGATCGATGGTTCAGAGGCCGTGGATGGATCAGACTGGTTCTGCTACCATGGTACCTCCCCCTCCATCTTTCCTGTTGGCTTCTGTGAAATCAACACCATTGAACTCACGCCCCCTAGAGGTACTGCATTCATCTGTGTTTCTTCAAGTCCTTTGTAAATGTAAATGAGCATTTGCTATTGAAAGGGCACTCTATTAAATACCATTTATTTGTACAACCCAAATCAAAAAAAGTTGGGACAGTATGTAAAATCTAAAATAAAACTCAAAATAGTGATGTGTAAATCATCTGTGTCCTGTATTACATTGAAAACAATACAGCAGCACATTATTTGATGTGATAATTCATCAGTTTAATTCTTTGTTCAAAATCCATCCATCCATCCATTTTCTTCCGCTTATCCGGGACCGGGTCACGGGGGCAGCAGTCTAAGCAGAGATGCCCAGACTTCC